CCCTACATATACTGTCTGAGTATACAGCATCCTCCCTATGCTTTCCCTGTATCATAAACTTCCAAAATACTTGCGATGAGGAAAAGAATTGCAGAATTCAGAATGACAGGACAAAAAATAACCCACTGACGGAAGCATGATCAAAGAATACGGAAAATAAACCGGACTTTGAAGGTTTGCCTTGCCACTCTGGTCTCAGCGCAAAGTCCAGCTTCTTCACACAAAGTTCACTTTTTTTTTTTTTTTTTACATTTTTATTGTTCATATTTATGCACTTTACAGTTGTCTGGAGATTTTTATGCATTTAGCTATTGCCTGGTTGTCACTCCCTACTGTAAAAGCAAAAGAGTGTCTTGGGAACACTGTGAAGAAAGGCTGCACTGACATTGCACTTTGAAGAGACTATCAAAGCCTGAAATAAGCTCCTGACATTTGCTCAAGAAAAGGAATTGAGGGACTTGGGGATGTCATGTTTTGGCACAGAACCAGCATAATATGATAATCAAATGCAGACAATGGGAAGCAAACAAAATAAGAGGGAGCATCATCCTCCACTGTGCCCTTTCTGTGGTACCGCACGACATACCAAAAGGGAAAGCCCCTGTATTTCACAGGCTGCAATTCTTTTAAGCTTTTACCTAGGTTGTACAAAGCCACGGACGTTATGCTTTTTCCCTTACCCACTGGCCTCTAGGGAGTTACCCCAGCAGAAAAAAGGTGGTCCAGAGTTCCCGTATACAGATTTAGCACTTGGAAAGGACTGCAATATTCTCATTCCTCCCTGCAACAGCGGAGCCTCAGCATTGTTCTGGAAAGGAGAACTGCCAACCCCTTCATGTGCTTTGTGAACAAAGCAGTGAAGTCGCCACTTGCACAGCCGCATTAAGAACGGTCTATCCAGGCCGTTGTGCTCAGTAACGAAGGTATGCGTTTTGCTCAATTCAGACTTGCTCGTTTTGCCAATTGCAGTAACATCTGACCGTCCTGTCTTGCTGAACCAACAGAACCCATCTGTTGACTTCTTCCAAATTGCAACAGCCAAAAACAATAGTAGAATGTTTAACTTGGGGGATGCTCATCTCTAAGACCAACTGATATCATGTACTACAGCGTCTGGAGTGGAAGGGAGCAATTTCTCATCCTATATACCTGCGGGTAACACTAATACATGCCTTCTGTATCTCTTTGTTTTAGGTTGTCATCACAAGAGTAATCTTGGTCTAAAAATATGATAGCCATCAAGAACAAAAATATTGCATGTTCTTACTGAAGCTACAGTACACCTAACACTAAAAGAAAGAAGGCAAGGGGATGTTAATATTCAAAGACTCTAACCTGCTTCTGCACTTATATTGACTTCCTTTTGATCATATATATTTTTAGTATAATTAAAGTTCCTTGTGATCTGACAGAAAGGCCTTATCTACATTTTTCCCCTTAATATTTCAATCAAAATTTTCCATTCTTTGTTTTCAGATTTACAAGCACAATTACTAGTGCTTCATGTAATAAAATATGAACCAACGAATACAGCAAAATACTGCTCACCAACATGCTTATTTGTATACTCCCTGGCCCATTCTTCTTTTCTGGCATAATTCCAGTTAAGTCAATGGAGCTCTGTCAGGAGTGAATTTGGCCTTTTCTTTCTAGACATAATATTGTCACACAAATACCAAGAATAGATCAAGCAGGTTAATTATCCAAATTACACTAGGGAGGGCCATACTTTAAATCTATAGCAGGGGATACCAGATTCCATTCTGCAACTACTTCTTTTGGTTTTAAAAACACATATATACACTCCTGGTCATGAAACCCAATTCTTTAAGGAATCACATCGCCACAGATTAACTGAACAACGGCAAAAAAAAAAAACCCCTACCTGTTCAATTTTATTAGTGCAGCGAGTCCTTAGATAGTCAAAACTTCGCAGCGTCTTCAGCTGCTATAGCCTAGAATAGATCCATTTAAGCCCACGTGGCAATTTACATCAATAATTTACCCAATATTCAAAAAACTCAGTTACAAAGCAGTAGGCAGTAGTGTTTCAGGTAACAAGTCTAATGGATATGTTTTAACAGCTTAATGCACAGTTGTTGGGAAGTCAAAAAACATTGTTGGTATATCAAACAGCACGCTATTGAAAGTTAAGCTATTGTAAGCCTAATTCTGTTTACTCTCCAAACTATTGTGAAGGAGAAAAGGTATATAGCTCCCCTGTCAAAACCAAAGAGCATAACTAGGCTTCAAAAATATTTCACTGTTTGACAGGTATCAACTGGTGACAAACCACTTGGACAAAGTTATTTGAACGTGTGCTGTCATAATGCAGAATACACTGCACAAACAAAATATTACTCAAAAATATCTGTTATTTTATGTATGCATTTAAGTAGGCAAGATTTACCAAATTAAGCACAACTATAAAACCTAAATAATTTAGACTAGAAAGCCTAGGATTTCTATTTCAATCACTTATGGAAAAGGCTATTTTGCTTCCAAATTCAAGTCACTTACCTGAGAAACAGATGCCTCAAAAATACCAAGCAGAGTAGACTGCCACTAGAAGTACATAGAGGACAAATATTTCCCTCCAACTCATTTACATACATCAATATTTACGTTTCCCTACCTTCATAAGCCAGACTCGAAACACCTAAGATTGGGTGCAGTCAGCCTGGCATATTCACAGCTCTATCACTCTGGGAGACTTCTAGGTTCATTAGGAGCAGAAAGTACATATCAGATGTCTGGATAATTTATCATCTTCATAATCTAGACAGAGATAAAAGATAGCTTTTTTGCGTATTACACATGGGCAGGCATCAGGAAAATTTGTGTCTATCCCCAACTCTATACTGGCTGCCTGAGTCATCTCACTTTGATTCAGCTTCCTCTTCTGTAAAACCACGTTATGAGTCTGGCATCACTAGCGTAAAAAAAATTAGAATACATTTGGAAGACGACAATGATTAAAGCCATGCAGGTAAACAAGATACAACACAGCATAATTTCATTAACAGTAAGCTGTGCTGATGCACTAAGCCAAAACATTTCTCTGCTTACAGAGGTGATTTTCAGGAACAGAAAACACAATACATCTCATCTGTCTGAACTTCAGTAAAGTATCTGGTTTGCTATTACATGAGAAGTTATTAATTAAATAGGATAAAATGTGGTATGGTAGAGAAAGCGTAAAGCAAACAAGGAGCTAGCTGAAAGAAAAATGACAGCAGTTTTTTGTTTTTTTTTTTTAAAAAGAAACATTACCAAAATAAGTTTCTCTACCACTGAAGGTGGAACATAACTCACTCACCTTTTGTGCTTCTGCCTTTAATACAAGTAGGCGCATACCAATTTAAAATTAAGAAGTCTAAAGGAAGACCACAGACACACCATAGAGAAAGAAAACTATCTTGAGGACAGGATCAATAGAAATGAGGTGAAAGTCAACAGGACAAAATTGCAAGGACACGCATTTACAGACCAAAACCATCTGTTCCTGTTACGGTTGTCACTAAACATCCCGAGTTAGCGGTTTACAAAGTGGTCCAAAGCAGCTTCAGGGGAGGAGCAATTCACCACCCGTTTGCCATTCGCCTGGTTATCGAGCGCAGAGCGCTGTTAAACCGCTCTGCTACTCCAGTCGCCCAGATTAACCACACCAGTGGGAATGCAATATGTCCTCTGAGGTTTGCAGTCAACCCGAGATCTCTTTTACACTACACCAAATGTAAAATGAATGCACGTATGCAGTCTTAAAATCCAAAGTTAAACAAAGATGTAGGGCGAGAGATGAAAGGAAACTACAGTACAGTTCACACAAGTCCTGTACACAAAGAGATGGAGATAAACTGGAAGCAAGTCCCACAGCGGGCCACAAGGACAGTGCAAGGGCTGCAGCACATAACAGACACAGAGAGGCTAAAGGAACGGGTTGGTCTACACTGCAGGGAAGAAAGTTAAGGGAGGAAGGCGATGCAGTCAGAAAGGACAGAGCCAGATCCTTGCCAAAGACGCACAACGAAAGGAGAAGAGGCAACGATCGCAGGATGCAGCAAGGGGAACGCCTTACGTCCCACTGGAGAGCGGCAAGCGCAGCAACAGGTTGCCCAGAGGTTACGGCACCTCCATCCTTGGAGGTGCTCAACGCTCAGCTGGGCAAGGTCCCCAGCAACCTGCCCTGCCTCGGAAGGCAGCTGCACTACACGATCTCCAGAGGTCCCTTCCAACCTAAATTATCCTATGATATAACTTAATAGCCATACATTGTACAACATACAGAAGAGGATAATGCTGCATCATATTACTTGCATTTGGCTGAAATGAGATCGGGTCACTAATTTATTAAAATAGTAGTTTTGCGTAAGGATGCCCCTACCCTTTGCTTTCAGGAATACTTGGACAGTGAACCGGGAACAGTGAATTGTAAGAAATCTCCTCATGGAGAAAATACTATGGAAATGTATACAGCTGGTATCACTGCTATTCAACCCACAGTTTGGACTACCAGTGGCCCAAAACACACTGGAAAGTGGTCTGCAAAAATGCCAACTCCTAATAAAGCCTGTAACAGGGATGCAGTTAGGAGTTAGCAGGCATTACCAGTGTATTTTTAAATAGAAAGCTTACAAACAAGCACACTTACTATTCAAAGACAATAAAATACTGTTTATCTAAATGCTAATTATTTAATTTTGAAAACATAATTTGAAGGGATAAATACACAAACTACAAATATTTTTTATTTGTGATAGCATACGATTAACTCACAATCCACATACTCATAAAAACGACCCCCAAAATTATATTTCATATATTTATATATAAAAGGAAAGCAGTAGTTCACGAAATTCATTCAAAGCTCTTACACCAACAAAACTTAACCACAGTGAACTATCCCAATATTAACCGGCAAGTTCGTTTAACTTTAAAAGTAAGCGCACTGAAAGATAGGTTATATATAAAAGTAAATCATAACATTAATCTCTGTTTACCTTTAGCACAATTTCCAGAAACGGTACCTCTGAGGAGAGTTTCTAAAGAGAACAGTTAGACAGGTCTGGGCCAGCAATACTCGCCACAAGTTCCTTTAAATAATTATTAACAAAAGTCCCTTAGTTCAAGCAGCCTACTTTCAATAAATTACCGTGCTGTTAACAGCCGCGTTTTGAAACAATAACACAAGCATCACAATGACCCACAGAAGCCTTTTTCAGCACAATACGATCTGATAGGTTAGCATTAATTACATTATAGATGACTGCCTTTGCAATTCTTACATTTACTTTTGCATTTCGTGCTTTTATTCTACCAATGTAGCTACAGATACTAATGTGAGCTGTTACTGTTTAAAAGAGAAAACTGTATGGACAGATGAAACAGGGCTAGCTATAATCACCTCTATCCTAGCAGAATAAGGCTTTGATTTTTCACAGGGAAAGGCAACGCAACAGTGAATTTGCTTACACTCTATGGCTCGCTTGAGGGAAGAAAACCAGTCCCGATGGAAATGGCAAATCAATCTTCCACTCTTCAGTAATTATCGTTCATAAACGGGCAAAAACAGAGCGCGACACCATTATATACAGCAGCAGTACGTTAGAACTTAGCACTGACCTGTACCTTTTAAAGGCATAATTTGTCGTGCACGTTACTGAGCCCCGTTCACTACATTTTGCAAACACTACCTTTGATAACAAAAAGCATCTCACTAACAAGTGACTTTTGGTAACAGATAAAGACAGCTTTCTTACTATAGTTTTACAGCTCAGATATTTCACCGCCAAATCTGCTGATATATAATTTTTTTTCTTCTTAAAGCTAAGATTTTTCTTCATTCCTCATTTCTAGAAGTCAGGAAGACCGCATCAGAAGAAAACAAAGTGGCATTCCAAATTCCGAGCATCTTCCTCGGAAAATATTTTTTTCTTTCCAATTGTTCTTTTTCTAAGGAAAGAAACTGGAGCTATGTGTCGGCAAACTCAGGCAGACAATATTGCTTTAAAAGCCCTCTCCAAAACAAACTGCATTAGTAATTTAATTATTTTTTCATTTTGCAAGCCCGAATTTGTCAAAAGTTGGCTGTTTCAAAGGCAGGACATAGTTCTCACGAACAAAGTGATTTTGCAGTTCCGGCTATGCAAACAACGTGCTATTCCGCACCACAACCGCTCAAGTTTAACTTTTAAAAGGAAATTCTTCCAAGCCAGTGTCCCACTCAACGCTTTACACTCATATGGCTTTCACAGGAGGCTTCCAATACTTTTTCATTCAATACTTGCTATGGAAAAATATGAGAAAGCACTTCCTCCAAGCTTGCACAACTTCACAACCCAAAACATCAAGGTGATCTCCAAGGGTGAAATGCTACTGCTTTCACAACCTCTGGTAGTAAAGGCTCTGCTACCTAACTGACGTCTTTGGTTACACCTGTATACTGGTTTACATAAGCGCAATCAGTTAGCACATAAGACACATTCATAATGCACAAGAAAAGATACTTATCTCACTGGTTCTTCACTCTCTTATCTTTCTAAAGCTGTTGGGAAGAAAATAAATTAACTCAGAATTTCAGCTCAAATCTGTGATAGTGCAGCCCCGGGCACTGCTTTACAAAGGAATATTGAGATAATCGGGACCCCACACAGACATGACAGCAAAACTTGATTTAAAATTGTTGCATTAGGCTTAGGTCCAATTCCTCTATAAAATACAAGAACTGAATCAGGTCTCAATCTACAAATTATGCTGTGGATAAGAAGGTCGCCTGTTAGATGAAATCACACCAGTCTTCATGGACAGGCTCCACAAAAGGAACACGTTTTAATCGTGAGAACTTAGTTCCAAATGTCTCAAACGACCCAACTTAAGAACACAGAAAACTGGCATTAACAGGGACTATTAACACTGTTGGCTCCTTCACCTGTATGATGACACACACAACGATTCAGTCGCTCGTTGTTCAGACCTCCCAAACTCCTCGAAACACAGCCCGCAAGGTCTACAAGATGGACACATCTCCATGGCACCTCATGACACATGAGCCCTCCAGGTCCTATGACACTGGTGGGCCCACAGAGCTACCTTGAGGCTGAGGAACACGTAGCAACGCCGTTGCCTGCTTCAAGAGCCTGTGGGCAGGCACCAAGCAGCGTGCCAGCGCCTCTGGAAGTCACAGAACTGTTAAAACATAGGATGCCGGCATCCCCACAGAAGAGTTTGTTACAAGTGGGAAAAGAGTAATTCTCATGATTAGCATGTAAAATTTGGCAAGTTTGACTTAAGCTGGTGCTTGCATCATCCATTCAGAAGGATGGGAAAACAAATCCTAGACATGTTTTTTCCTTTAAAAGTAAAAGACACCAAGTCAGGCTCCAGGACCCAGTTAACATGTATTTCAATTAGAAACTTTCAACTTTTTTGATAAAAAGGGAAACATGTAAAACCCATCTCAGTTTGACTTCTAATTTGCTGGCCTTTAACCAACACAATGATACTTTTACAGAAAAAAAATCTTAATTATGTATGGAACCAACTACCATCTTTGCTTTGTTCATGTTAAAGGAAATAGGGATTAACTATGTATTTTTATACACCATGTATTTTAAAATTAAAGTCACAATACTGGGTCTCATTCTGCTAACACAGTCTTTGGGAGTTCATTTGAAAATATAACCTCTACTCTGAAATATGACACATACAATATGATTTAAAGAAGATAAAAACAGAAAACATACTGCTCTAAGGAGCGTGAACAAGAGAATTACAGCCTGTATCGCAAACCTCATGGAAGGACTTGGAGATGTCTTCATGCCTGCTACTCTATCCATACCATAATAATAAAATTAATCTTTTCACTATCAATTCTTGATAACACTTTGGTAAGAGAACAGATCTTAACATAGGCACTTTACTTGCACCCACTTTACAAATCCCATCGTACCAGGAAGAAGCTTCAATGGCGGATCACAATGAGCACCTATCTGAATGGATCACTTGTGTGGTCCCACAACAACTACCACATTAAATAACTGGAAAAATGCATGCTCCTAGGGAAGGAACTAATGAAGCAGATAGGGAAGATCATCTTTACAGCCCACCGTGATGTATCTGTGCCTGTTAATGTAAATAGGATAAATAATTGTATTTGGAAGACCTAAGCCTGGGAGGGGCATGAAACTGTAGAGAAGAGGAAAGTAAACAGACAACATGCATGTTCCTCTTCATAGAGCAGATGCGTCAACTTGGTTCAAGGTGCTGGTAGGTAACCGTGAGCGCATCTCTCATTGTACTCCATATATTAATTCACCACCCTAGGCTCTTCGGTGCTCTAACACTTTTCTGCTGGTCAAATTCCAAATTAAACTATTCATTACCATCACAAACTCATTCTGTTCCAAAAATCCACTGACTAGAGTTTGCAGTAAGAAACAATTATAAAGATATCCTAATAACAACAAATGTTGGCTTTTTTCTCCTTTCTTTTTTTTTTCCCCCATTAAGGACAGAATAGTAATATTATCTACTGATACTCAAAAGAGTAGTTACTTTTCAGCAAATCTGCACTGCTATATAAAAATCTTGACAATTAAAATGATTTTAAAAGGTGTCAAAACCTATTCCTTCAGCAGCTATAATAAGGTGATTTGTATTTGAAAATTCATTAAAAGCAACAAGATAAAATGAATGATGATGGAAACGTGAGAATAACCTAGTTAATTTTTAAATATTTTTGAACTACATACAGTGAAAGAATAAAACAAAATGCGACAACTCAAACAACTAGGGAGTTCCACCACAACTACTGCCAAGCACTTCTGTGACTAAATTTTTTTTATGTTTACATTTATCCAGTACTGTTATTTATGAATAGGAGCAGCGCTGTCATAACACTTTACAACAATATATTTTATACAACATGTTTTAGTTCAAGGCAACAAGACTGCTAACTTTTTTTTTTGTCAAAAATCTTTACTGTGTAAATAGATACTAGAACCTACTTTTGGGAGTCTGATGATGTATCTAGATAACAACACAGTTCTGGAGGAGGTGGAGGAAAGGCCTTTTTTAGAGGTTTCATTGAGTTTCAGCTCTAACAGCAGAAAATTCTTACATACTATTTCCTTCCACAATATAATTAACCATGGTCAGGAGGGAAAATACAAAGATCAGTAATTTCCTTTGTACAAGGTAACTGGTCATTTTGATAGGGATCTGTTTTTCCCCTACATGGGCTCAAAATTGAGAGCCTGTTTTAACTACAGCACTGTACTGGAGAGCTCTAACAGCCATAAGAAATAAGTCTACCACAGTCAACATCAAAAAGTAACACTATAAGGAGAAAAAAAATTAAATGGAATAAAAATTGGATTAATATAATCTTCAGCAGAGACCGATGTCTTCCTGTCTTCCCATTAGACAGTTAGCTTATCTTTTTCCATGACCTGTAGGAAAATATAAAACCATTCCAGTAAAATTTACTAGTTGTGATTTCTGCAAAGTGAAAAATAATGAGGCAAGCCAGTTATTTGCAAAATGGCCTGAGTCACTTGCTAAGACTGCGTCCTTAGAGAGCATGCACTGTAACACCTGCAAAGTGCAAGCTCACCTGCAAGAAGAAAGCACAGGCTAGTTTATGAAGTAGGGTTTCACGTCCTGCAAAGCTGCAGCCCTGAATGAGACTTGGGCATCACCATGAATAAGCAACTGAACGTGAGTCGCAGTGGCGCAGCTATTAGAGGGTGGAGGATAAAACAGACATATGAACACATAAGTATCCAAGTAGGAGCGCTGCAATACTTTTATATTACTGGAGAAATATATCTAGTTCTTGCATCCATACTTCAAAAAATCGAAAATGGTTCAGAATGGGGTTAAGAAAATAGCCTAACTCTGGAAATCCTGTCATTCAGGAAGAGACTTGAAATATTCAGTCTGTCAAAAGAGAATAAAGGGGTGACTTGGTCAGTGCCTCCAAGTATCAAGACAAGGAAGACATCTGACAGATGGTTTCTTAACAATAAAAGATAGAATAAGGTCAAACAGGTGAAAGATAGTAGGAAAAATGTGTATTAAACTTAAAAAGAAGAAACAATGAAGGTAATAAACATGCGGAACAACATAACAAGTGGTAGGATGGATTTTTCATATGAAACTTCTCATCATCATCTTTCTAAAAATTGAGCTGAAATCACTGGAGGGGTACTACTGCATATATTTAGATTACCACAGTCTATTGAAGAAACATTTGGGTTACCGCTAACAGGACATCACCTTAAAATGAAGTTTCCTTTGTGTTTATTGAGCTTAGTTTCAGTAAAGGAGCTGTGGCTGTATATGAATACATTATAAGCAGATACATTCCCAAATCTGGATACTTCATTCACTTACTCACCTTTCCAGTTTCCTCGCAGAACTACCAGCTGCACTCATCCTCCTAAACAGATCACAGTATCACGAGCAATAAACCTCATGACTTCTTGTTCTGCTAATAGGTGTCAACTACACTGAGCTGTAAAACGTTCTTTAGTTTGAGGGCAGTTCTCAGAGCACGTTTCTAATCAGCGGCTATCATGCTCCATGCATACCAAGACAGACGACTTTCACCATGCACTATGTACTTTTCCCCTTGACTTGTTTTTACCACATCCCTTGTGCACAAGATCCTACTCCTTTACTGTCACCCACATACCTGCGCTCCTTTCCCACCAATTTTTCTCCATCCTCTTTACCACAATCTCCACCGACCACATCCTCCTGAGCCCTTCACTCCTACCCTCCGCCATACTCCAACCTACGCCTGCTTGTGCTCTGCTGAGCTCCGCTTCTCAATATTCACGTGAAGCCTGATTTGTTCACGGCAGGGGAAGACGTGGGGAGCAAATGAGCTTGTGTGGGTGCTGGTACCTAGAAGAACTCAAGTAAAAGTGGGAGAAGATGGAGGGAAGGGGTGCAATAACGGATGCACACGATGTGCTCTGAGAAACACGTTATTTGCCAAAGCAAAACTCAACGGTTCTGTTTCTTCTAGATTAAGACTCATTTCACCCACATGACCATGGACATCCTACATCACCACTCACCCCTAATGCCCCCTTCCTGGGGGAGCAGGAGGGCTTATGGCCATTTATACTCTCCATAATTCTCTCGTGTAATAACATCTAGGATCCAGACAGACATTACCACAAAAGCGAAAGAACAATTTATATGCCATTAGGGGAGTGAGGGGCGCAATCCTGACACTAAGGACTTTGGTGAAGGAGGCCGTTCCTTTTCCTGCCTGGAAGGGGTGAAAGGGCACTACTTACTACTGTTACTTACTAGCTGGGAAAAAATCCCATTTCCTCTACATTAAAACATTGGCTTACATGGTTGTCTCAGCAAAGCTCACGACGCTTAGATTTTCTCACCGCATCAGGCAGCGGGAAAACCTAGAGAAGCTTCTGGGAGTCTCTTCCTGTGGCAGGTTAAGCAAACTTTTACATGAAATAAATACTTCACATATTGTGGTTTATGTCATGCCTACACTACCTAATTTCATACAAAGAATATGGTTGATGACTCAGTAAAAGAACTAGGTCACTCCACTCCTCCCCTCTCACTTAGCTAACAGACATCATTCTGTATTTCTAAAAGACTTTATTCCTTCACTAGTCCTTAGCATCTATTCACAGAAAATCCATCCTGTTTATAGCAAGAAAGCAATGCTGCATTCAAATGCTGATGGATAAAAGGTCTATCATGCTTTCGAATGAGCAGGAAGAACGGGAAAGGGCTGGCAAAATGACTTTTTTATTCCATTACAATTGCGACGTTAGTAGACATCCTGAGGCTCTGGGTTTCATTATACCAAAGATAAAATAATCGAACTAACATGACAGCAGCTCAAGAAAACAATAATTTCATTTCAGGTATAAAAGAATATTCTAATGCATTTTGCCTGAAAAAAAAAGATGAATGACAATTTTAAAGTACTTAGCTTTCTAAGGGTTCTTTTAACTGACAGGCTGTTCCGTCAGATCTGGCTCTGTGGCTTTATGGGAACTATACAAGCTAGCAAGAGTGAGCTTAAAGATGGGTAGATTTATATAATGATTGCTCCAAAGTTGAAGTTGCACTGAAATTAGTACTTAAAGCAGGAGCAAAATCCTTTTCCTTCACAGAGTGATGATTTTTTTTCCCCTCCAATTTGACACAATCTGCCACAAAGGGGAAAAAAAATTTTCTTCTTGTACATGCTGTTTTTTTAAGGAGGAAAAAAAATACTGACTTCTTCAGATGCAATAGACCAAAGCGATCTCTCACCAGATCTTTTCAGACTTTATCCTCTCTGTTAGGCTTCTGTATCTCTCTTACATTTCTCTATCTACATAATACCAAGACCGCACAAACTCCATACTCACAGTTATCTTCATAAACCAGATACAAAGTACTCTGAGCTTTTCCAGTGTCACACTTTGACTTACATACACAAGACATGTATGCACCTTAACTTGCCATGACTGATTTGATCTACTCCCAAAACAGATCACAGATGCTAACATCCCCCGCTTCAATTCCCTTCCTCACAAATACAGAAAAGTTCAAGGTTGAACAGTTAGGGATGTGAGGGGAGGAAGTACTACAGAAAAAAACTGGGCTTTTACAGGTGACTAAAAGCTCCATGAGTCAAGGGAAAGATGCAGGAGACAGCATCTGGAGGAAAGGAAGAGTTAGCGGGACTGCAAGAGCAGAGCGGAAAGGTGCTGGAGATGGACGGGATCCCGGGCCAGGGGGAGCCCAGCACCTTTGGGCCAACCCTGTCACTGGAACAGATCTCTCCAAGGAGCTTTCTCAAATCCAGGCTGTCAAATCTGGGGCGTGAGCTCCAGTAGGGAGGAGAGCATCCCTTGCTGAGGCACGAGCATGGAAGTCTGTTCTTTTTCAAAAAGAAGTGAAC